TCATCCCAACAAGCGTCCTCCTTAATGCCCCTCACCCCTTTAGCCCTTCCCCCTACCCAACACCCCACCAGCAACCCTCAGTTTGTTCTCTTATTTAAGTCTCTTATGGTTTGTCTCCCTCTCTGTTTTTATATTATTTTTTCTTCCCTTCCCTTACGTTCATCTGTTTTGTATCTTAAAGTCCACATAGGAGTGAAGTCGTATGATATTTGTCTTTCTCTGACTGACTTATTTCGCTTAGCATAATACACTCTAGTTCCATCCACGTTGTTGCAAATGGCAAGATTTCATTCGATTTTATTGGCCAAGTAATATTCCATTGTCTACGTATACCACATCTCCTTTATTCATCTGTTGATGGACATTTGGGCTCTTTCCATACTTTGGCTGTTGTTGATAGTGCTGCTATAAACATGGGGGTGCATGTGCCCCTTTGAAACAGTATTCCTGTATCCTTTGGATAAATACCTAGTAGTGCAATTGCTGAGTCGTAGGCTAGTTCTATTTTTAATTTTTTGAGGAACCTCCATACTGTTTTCCAGAGTGGCTGTACCAGTTTGTATTCCCACCAGCAGTGCATAAAGGTCCCTCTTTCTCTGCATCCTCGCCAACATCTGTTGTTGCCTGGGTTGTAATGTGAGCCATTCTGACAGGTGTGAGGTGGTTCTCATTGTGGTTTTGATTTGATTTTCCCTGACGACGAATGATGTTGAGCATTTTTTCATGTATCGGTCGGCCATCTGGATGTCTTCTTTGGAGAAGTGTCTATTCATGTCTTTTGCCCATTTCTTCACTGGATTATTTATTTTTTGGGTGTTGAGTTTGAGAAGTCCTTTATAGATTTTGGATACTAACCCTTTATGTCATTTGCAAATATCTTCTGCCATTCTGTCGGTTGCCTTTTAGTTTTGCTGATTGTTTCCTTTGCTGTGCAGAAGCTTTTTATCTTGATGAAGTCCTAATAGTTCAGTTTTGCTTTTGTTTCCCTTGACTCTGGAGACATGTCAAGTAAGAAGTTGCTGTGGCTGAGGTCAAAGAGGTTTTTGCCTGCTTTCTTCTCGAGGATTTTGATGGCTTCCTGTCTTACATTGACGTCTTTCATCCATTTTGAGTTTATTTTTGTGTGTGGTGTAAGAAAGTGGTCCAGGTTCATTCTTCTGCATGTTGCTGTCCAGTTTTCCCAGCATCACTTGCTGAAGAGACTGTCTTTATTCCACGATATTCTTTCCTGCTTTGTCAAAGATTAGTTGGCCGTACATTGGTGGCTCTATTTCCAGGTTTTCTATTCTGTTCCATTGATCTGAGTGTCTGTTTTTGTGCCAGTACCATACTGTCTTGATGATTACAGCTTTGTAATACAGCTTGAAGTCCGGGATTGTGATGCTTCCAGCTTTGGTGTTTTGTTTTTTTGTTTTTTTTTTTTTCAGGATCGTTTTGGCTATTCAGAGTCTTTTCTGGTTCTTTACGAATTTTAGGATTGTTTGCTCTAGCTCTGTGAAGAATTCTGGTGTTATTTTGATAGGGATTGCACTTCATATGTAGATTTCCATGGGTAGTATCAGCATTTTAACAATATTTGTTCTTCCTACCCAGGAACATGGAGTCTTATTCCATATTTTTGTGTCTTCTTGAATTTCTTCCATAAGGTTTCTATAGTTTTCAGTGTATAGATTTTTTCACCTCTTTGGTTAGCTTTATTCCTAGGTATTTTATGGGTTTTGGTGAAATTGTAAATGGGATCAACTCCTTGATTTCTCTTTCTGCTGCTTCATTATTGGTATATAGAAACGCAACTGATTTCTGTGCATTGATTTTATATCCTGTGACTTTGCTGAATTCATCTATCAGTTCTAGCAGTTTGCTTGGTAGAGTCTTTTGCGTTTTCCACATGGAGTATCATGTTGTCTGCAGAGAGTGAAAGTTTCACTTTCTCCTGGCCAATTTGGATGTCTTTTATTTCTTTATGTTGCCTGATTGCTGAGGCTAGGACTTCCAACACTATGTTGAACAACAGTGGTGAGAGACATCTTTGTCGTGTTCCTGACCTTAGGGGGAAAGCTGTCAGTTTTTCCTCATTAAGGATGATATTAGCTGTGGGTCTTTCATATATGGCCTTTATGATCTTGAGGTATGTTCCTTCTCTCCTTACTTTCTTGAAGGTTTTTATTTTTATTTTGTCAAATGCTTTTTCAGCATCTATTGAGAGGCTCATGTGGTTCTTATCCTTTCTTTTATTAATGTGATTTATCACATTGATTGATTTGCAGATTTTGAACCAACCCTGCATCCCAGGAATAAATCCCACTTGATTGTGGTGAATAATTCTTTTAATATATTGTGGGATCCGGTGTGCTGATCCATGTTCATCAGGGAGATTGGTCTGTATTTGTATCCATGTTCATCAGGGAAATTGATGATGTTCATCAGGGAAATTTGTATCCATGTTCATGAGGGAAATTGGTCTGTAGTTCTCCTTTTTAGTGGGGTCTTTGTCTGGTTTTGGAATCAAGGTAATGTTAGCTGCTCTCCAATTTAGAAAATATTTTTATGGTGGCTCCAATGGAAAACTGTTAACAAATTATATGAACTTTAAAGGTTTTGCATTCAAGAAACTAAATACCCACCTTGAGGAAATCATCTCATGAAAGAGGTCAACGGTGACCAAGTCTGGGAGGTTCACCATAATAGAAGAGGCTAGTTTAAGTAAGTGGCAACAATCCTCATAAATGAGGCAGTGCTGATGCACTTAGGGGCCCGATATGTATTATCAGGCTTGTTGGACTCTCCCCCTCCAACTCAACCCGGCCGCACTCCTAGAGCCCTGGTCCCCAAACCTGGGTCATTTGGCTGTCGGAGCCAGTCCTCTGACCTACCTCAGCCGTCTTGCTCAAGGGGCTAGAAAAGTCAGATGATCGGAGCAACTAAGGGAAAGAAAGAGATCCCCTCTCACCCTGCTCCGTCTTGGATTACTTGGGACCACGTGTGCGGCTGGGATGTCCTGGGAATGGACTAGTAGAGGGGCAGGGACGCCTACTCTCCCTTCATTCACTGCTCTTGGCACCGGCATACTTAAGACACTCAAAAAGGTGTGCTCACTGCCAGAATGAATCTTCAGCTGTCTTCACCATTAATGTAAAATGGAACATTTCCATTTGCGGGATATCCACCTCTCCACCGTTTGCACCCCACGTAGGATCGTCACATTTGTTCCTTCAAAATGACAACGGAAGTACTAGTGTGCATTCAGGGAGCCATCGGAAATTAGGGAGATCCCCCTACACGTTACCACCTCAGGCAAGTTGTAAGAAACACCCAATAATAACTTAAAAAATGCTGGATAGCTCTCCCAACTGTTGCCTTTTAAAACGACTTGGAAGAGGGGCACCTGGGTGGCTCAGCCGGTTGAGCGGCCGACTTCGGCTCAGGTCATGACTTCGAGGTTGGAGGGTTCTGTGCGGACAGCTCGGAGCCCGGAGCCTGCTTCGGATTCTGTGTCTCCCTCTCTCTCTGCCCCTCCCCCCGCTTGAGCTGTGTCTCTCTCTGTCTCTCAAAAAGAAATAAATGTAAAATAACTTGGAAGAAAAGAAAAGGGATCCTATATAAGCTGCTAAGGAGTTATTGGCATCTTCCTTGGAGGTATTCCCTGGGCCAGTTAACACCCAAAATAAACACAGTGAGTTGAAGTAGATATGTGGTAGCTATTCAGTCAATAATTTAATTCTAAGTAATGAGAAGAGACTAACCTGCTCATCAACAGGACTTTGCATAAGCAAATGAAGGTATCTGCATTGATGGCCCACCCCCTCAGACTCAGGCAGCCTCAACTTAATATGGTCTGATATTTCTGCTTCGCATTCTCCTTCTCTCCACTCCCCCACCCCCACCCCGCGATCAAGAAATGGAACAAAGGCAAGAAGGGTGCGGCATTCCTGCCCAAGGCCATGGTAGAGTGATCCTTTTCAGGATTTGCCTCTGGTGGAGCCTACCAGCAATCCAAGGCTGCCCAGCCTCCCCTGGGGAGACCAGTTCTGAGCCTGCTTTCAGGGAAGCTGTCTGGGCCTGTGGAGATTTGGGCGTGACTGATCCCACGTCACCCGTTTCTCTTCTCACAATCCCCACCTTGCTGTGTGCATTTCCACCCACTTCTCCTTCCCTCGTCCAAAACATTATTTGCCCATGCTTGAACTACACACTTAATAATGTTCCTTTTGTTTTCCTCAACGAGGTGGGGTGAGGAATCAGGTTGCTGTTGCTATTATTCCTACCAACGATAACAACAGCTCTCACTAAGCGCCAGGTCCTATTCTAAATATTCATTTAATCCTCACCAACCCCATGAATTGGAACTACATGGTGGGTTTTGATGAGGCCCAGTAACTTCCACTGTTGTTTCCCACTGGAGCGAAGAACTAATTGGAAGACAGACATGGGTATTTGGAAAATAGAGATCAAAATGTTCTTACTGTATATAGTCAATGAGGGAGAACATAGCTTAGGGTTTAGGCTTCCTAATTCTGCACCCCAGAATCGGACTCACCTTCTAGTCCCACGTAGCACCAGGTCAGCACAGAAGTACCCCCAGAAGCCTGGCCCCATAAAGCTTAGAGCAGAGCTGAATATGGTCTTTCCGTGAGCAGCCAGATATGGAGGTCAGGGAAGAGGTAATAGGGAACAGAAAGAGGCCAGGATCACCTGCTTCATGGAAACTTGAACCCAGAGCAAAAAAAGATCTCAACATTATTATTAGCCCTAGGGTCATGTAGCTGATACACTAGAATGCACTCTTCCTGGGTTGCCTGGGTGGCTCAGGCGGTTAAGCTTCCATCTTTGGTTCAGGTCTTGATCTCTTGGTTCACGAATTTGAGCCCCACGTCAGGTTCTGTGCTGACGACTCAGAGCTTGTGGATTCTGTGTCTCCCTCTCTCTCTGCCCCTCCCCTGCTCACGCTCTCTCTCCCTGTCTCTCAAAACTAAAATAAAACATTTTTAAAAATTAAACAAAAAAAAAAAAAAAAGAATGCACTTTTCCCAACTGAACTCCATCCATCCTGAGCCATGAGGAGTCTGCACCTTGAGTTGAGTGGGAGGAAAATAAGGGTGGAGTACACCAGTCTTCCCCACCTGGCTCTCAGTAGCCCTGGGGGACATACTTCTGTACCTGTCCCTGTCTGGGCAATCCCACAAACACTAAGGACCTACCGTGAGTCTAGAACTGTGTTGCTCGATCAGTAATATTTGAGTCAATTTATGAATGAATGAATGAACAAATGAATGAATTGTACAGAATTCACCATTTTTATCCCTTTGGTTTTCTCTCATGTGTTTTCAACACACTTGTGCCAAAATTTGTTATAATCCAGACAATCTTGGTCCCAGAGTACATTGGAAATTCCAGGACCTGCTCAAATGGAAATGAGAGAAAATCAGCTGAGACAGCAAAGGGCAAACCTTTTCAGAGAAGGTCTAGCAGCTCAGCCCCAAGGCCAGGGGGCATGGTGAACTCCAGACCCAGTGCAGTTCTGGGACTCAAGGTCTAAGCCAAGCATGTGGGGCAGGGAGTGGGCCTCTTGGCAAAAATCTGAGTGTGTTATGACTGTTGTAGGTCAGAAAGGATCAGGGGGCTGGGTCCAGCCCCAGGAAATAGGGGTTGGAAGAAGATGAGAAGGTCAGGGTCCCAGCTTAGTGGAGATCTGGGGTACCCTCTGCACCAGAGGAATTTGGAATGCAACCAGGAAGTGAGGATGAACGGAAAACCAGACAAGTGGACAAACCAGACGTTCTTCAAGGGCGGGGAGGCAGGCAAGCTGAAGACCATTGAGTGGAAAGAGAGGTCCATTCCATCCCCCACCCTCTAAATGTCCAGCTCCCCTGTGCAAATGGGGAAGAGAGGGAATCCCAACATACCACAGTCCTGGACGTTGTCCTGAACATTGGCTCAGGACAGAGGTAGACACGGAGCCCATGTGCTCTTAATGATGGCAGTAGGGGGTGGGTAGTGCCACAGCTATTTTCTAAGGGTTGGCTGACAAATTAATTTATTATCCAAAGCAGAACTCTTTTGAAGAGGAAGTGTCATCAATAATTACTAAAACTAATAACTAAAAAACTGACTTTTCCTGTAACCTTCCAAAAGTATTTCACAAGCCTGCTTTAAAGAAGCAGGCTGATCTAGAAGCAGGTGTTTATAAATGGGAAACAACGATTTTATGTTCCCTTCCTCTCCGATACAGGAGACTGGATTCCGGGACCCCCACCACATCCCCTCCCACCCCCACCAGCACCACCTGCATTCACCTACAGCTGGGAAGACAGCTTCAGCTTCTGACAACTCAGGTGCCTGTCACTCTTTGCTGCTCCTCCTGAGGACTTTCTCACTCCACGGGGCTTGCTCTGATGCCGGAACAACCAGCCGTGTGGGCAAATTAACTCCCCTGGGAGACAACCTTCAACCAACAGGAAACAGGAGTCAGTGGATTCGCCCCCACCTCCCTGTAGTGCGGTGGATGGCCCTGTGATGGCTCCCTGTGCTTTCTCAGGACCCTCAGTGTGACTGGGTCCCCTGCCCACAGCAGCAACTCATTGGCTTTTCTCTCTTCACTCCTACTTTCTCTACACCCTCGCTTTGCTTCCTGGGGTCATCTCCCAAATAAAATACCTGTGCCCAAGTCTTGTCTCAGGGTCTGCCTTGAGAGGAATCCAAGCTAAGACACTGGATAGCAAAGGAAAAACCTCATTCAAACCTACATTAACTGTGCTTTTTTGTTTGTGTTGGACCCTAGGGATAAAAAGGTAAATAAACCAAAGTCTCTGCTCTTGAGAGGAAAAGGAGGTGGTCAAAGCAATCATATGCACCGGAACCAAATCAGCAGTGCTGGGTCTCCCAGATATAGATACTATAGATACAGATACAGATACGGATAGGGTCAGATACAGATACAGATACTGATACAGATACTGATACTGATACAAATACAGAGAGAAGGACATTGATTTCTTATGAGGAATTGGTTTACACAATTACGGAGAGCGAGAAGTTCCATGATCTGCCATCTGCGAGAAAGAGCCCCAAGAAAACCAGTGGTATAATTCCAGTCTAAGTCAGAAGGCCTGACAACCGGGACAGACCACGGTGTAAATCCCAGCCCAAGGGCAGGACACTAATCTGGCTTCTGAATGAGTTTGCCCAGTGGAAGCCATAGCAAGGGATTGGAGGACAAAAGGAGAAAGAGGTTAAGGTATTTATTTACCTGTCCGCAGTTCAGACAGCAGCTGTGTTCTTTCTCTACCTATAGTCACAGCTCTGGCCAGACAACTCTTTTTGTATTCCTGCTTTCATCAACCTCTGGCATCACGATTCACTCCTCCTGCCCTTTTAGGCCTGGGATGATAATGGTGTCCTGTTGTTACCAGTCCTTCAACCCTGTCCATACCGCTCCTCAGTTAAATCCTTTGGGAGTACCTGTTGGCTCCCTGCTGGGACCCTGATTGATATGGGGGCAGTTGTTTTATCCAAATGAGGACTGACACAAAGCAGAGGCAGAAGGAGTGCAGGAAAACATAGAGATACAAGAGCTCTCAGCTTATCAGCCAGGGCTCAGATCTTATCTGAAGGCTCAACTGGAGAAGCATCCACTTCCAAGCTCACATGGTCATTGGTTATCAGAATTCAGTTGCACTGAGGGCCTCAATTCCTTGCCAGCTACTAGTCAGTGGCTGCCCTCAGCATCTCTCCATCTGGGCCTCCCCACCATAGCAGCTTGCTTTGTCTAAGTCAGTAAGAAGGAGAAAGCCTTCTAGCAAGACAGAAGTCACAATCATATGGACCCGAATCATAGCAGTGACATTCCATCACCTTTGCTATATCCCATGGGTTAGAAGCAAATCACACGTCCTGCCCACACTCACAGGAGGGGATTATACCAGAGAGGGAACATCAGGAGGTGAGGATCATTGGGGGTCATTTTACAGTCTGCTTGCTATGGGAGGAAGAAGGAGGAGTCATTCCTCAGACTTTTACTTATAAATGGTGCCATTGATCAAAAGAAGGAATTGAAGAACAAGAGAATCGGGTTTGAGGGGAAAAGAGTGGTGTAGTAAATCTTAGGGTCAGTGGGAATCTGAACAGAAGGTTGTCTCCCAAGAAGTTTAGAATTGACTTCAGTCCAACTATGTAAAGAGAGAGTTAGGTCTGGGGGACAAAGGATCAGGTTAGGCTACTGGGGACTCTGAAGGAAGTTTTCCCAGTCCTGTTCATTTTTTTTTAGAAAAATCAAGTGATAAAATAGACCTGTGACCAAATTCTCTGTTGCAGGGTTACAGGGGAAGAAAACACACTTGTATTTTCAAGGGCGGGAGGTGCATGTTTTAAAGGATGCATTTCCACGTTTACTGAAAGAGAGAAAGAACCAGACCAATTGTCTCAAGCTCTGAATTTGTTCCTTGAAGAAAAAAGACAGGCTTCTTCGGAGAGAAAAATGATACTTACATGGACCTCTGGAGTGCCTATGAGTACATGCTTTGGATTCAGAGATAAAGTAGCTAAAGGCCTGAGCATGGTGTGGGATGATACCAGGATTGCTGGGGCAGGAAACCTGGAAACTACTGGCCCATTCCCTACTACCATACTTCTTAGCTCTGTGACACGCAGCCTGTCACTCAGCCTCCCTGAGCCTCAGGGGCCAAGCCTTTTCCATGGGGAGACCATCTGTCTTTACTGTCCTCAGCTGTCCTGAGGACCAAATGAGAGCATTTATCCCATGGAAGTTTTGGGGCGCCTGGGTGGCTCAGTCGGTTGAGCATCCGACTTCGGCCCAGGTCATGATCTCACGTCCGTGAGTTTGAGCCCCGCGTCGGGCTCTGTGCTGACAGCTCGGAGCCTGGAGCCTGTTTCAGATTCTGTGTCTCCCTCTCTCTCTGACCCTCCCGCATTCATGCTCTGTCTCTCTCTGTCTCAAAAATAAATAAACATTAAAAAAAAAAAATTAGAAGGCACCTACTACGTGCAAAACACCACAGTGACTACAAAAATAAATAAGACTTAGGTCCTAACCATACTTAGCCTACAGACCTGTTGATATTTGTGAATCTGCTCCATGAACTAGAGAGATAATAGAGGTGAAAATCTGCCCCAAAACCCTGTTCCGTTGTGCCAATGTCATTACTAGGTTGAGGTACAAAGCGGGAGTAGGTACAAAGTCCATTCAGCTGTCCCCAAGAATTCTCTTTTCTATGACAGAGTCTAACAGTTTCTGATATGATCATACTTTTTACCAATACTTACCCATTCATATAACAAACACGCCTTGATGTAATTTTTTAAATCGATCTCATTCAATAACAGAGAACCACATGTCAGCTTTGTGTCCTTGAATAACACCCATAAGCTCTTTGTATCTCAGTTTCTTCATCTGTAAACTGGTAATGATAACAAGAAGAAAATATTAATCCCCCTCAAATGAGAGGGCCAAAAGAGAGAAAGGGTATACAATTGTTCTTTCAACTCACTCAACAATAAAAATGCGAGCTCATTTTACTAGCCTCTGTGTCTAAAGATCCTAGGGGTAAAGCTATGACCATGCAGCTGCAGTTGACATTGGCAGAGAACTTGATAATCAGTGTTAAGAGGGATTCTCTGCTTCTTCCAGCTCTTGTTAGCGGAAATGGAAACCAAAGCATGGACGCTGAGGGAAGTGCAATTTAAGTCACAAGCCCTGACATCCCGGTGGAGACGCTGTGACTGTGACCACCCAGCTTCCAGCATGACCGTGGGCCACACCAGCTGCCCAGGTTCTGCACCGACCCTAAGGATCACCACGGGTCACAAAACCCCCAGGAGCTGAGGTAAAAACCTTGATTCTGAGTTTCAAAACAAACCCCCTCAGTTGGCTTCTGAAACAACGAGAACTGCTCAGAACGGTACGGATCCGTTAAAAAGACAATGTGGGCGGGGCGCCTGGGTGGCGCAGTCGGTTGGGCGTCCGACTTCAGCCAGGTCACGATCTCGCGGTCCGGGAGGTCGAGCCCCGCGTCGGGCTCTGGGCTGATGGCTCGGAGCCTGGAGCCTGTTTCCGATTCTGTGTCTCCCTCTCTCTCTGCCCCTCCCCCGTTCATGCTCTGTCTCTCTGTCCCCCAAAATAAATAAATGTTGAAAAAAAAATTTTTTTAAAAAAATACAATGTGGGCATGAAGCTGCTTAGGTTTGGTTTTGTTGGGTGACATCTATTTTTTTTAATGGGAGGGAGAAAGATCCATGCTCCCCATTTATTTAAAGCCCACTACCTGCAGGTAAAAAGGCACCTTTCGGCAGCTGCTTCACTCCAGCGGGTGCGAGCTCCCCCCAAGCCAGTCAGCTGCACTCTCGCCTTCACACCAGCAGTGTTGAGGAGATTACCGTCCCCTCACACCCACTCTCTCCTTCTTCTTCTAGCAGTAGACCCCCACTTACCAAGTATCAGCATAGCCTGTGGCCATGGAGGTAGAAATAAAATCTTCCCAGCACCCTCGCAGCCATATATAATAATAATTATTATTATATATTATATAATTATTATATAATTTATTATTATTATATAACATTCCAAATTATTATTATTATATAAGAAAGACACAAGCTCCTAGCGTACATAAGCTTCTGTATTTGGGGGTATTTTTGTTATATCAGCTAAGCCACACCTGTGCATTTGTGAAAATATGCCTGAAATGTAGTACGACTCCACCAGCAAAGAAATTGTTTTGACTTTATCAGCTTTTATAGCTCTCAGACCTGTGGCCAGGACATTGCGCTTCAAAGATCATCTTTGATGATCTCAAAGATCGTGTGCTTCCTGTTCTCAGTCCTCACGGCTTACAGGCGAGTATTAATCTCGTGGACCACAGAGTACATGGAAAAGATCTTTCGTGATAGGAGATGTGGAGAAGGGCTGAGGACGGAGGAAATGGTGAAACATTAATTAAGCTCTTACTATGTACCAAAGACTCCATGCTTTATGTCCTGCCAATGATGGGAAGCAAATATAGTGCCCCCATTCCCACTCCCCCCACCTTGTGTTAGATGAGGAAATGAGCTCAGAAAGGTTTGATCTGCCCAAAGTCACCATACGTCAGAGCCCAAATTTGAAACCCAGTCTACTGGTGTCGAAGCTGCTTCTCAAGAATGAAGAATCAGTAAGATTAAAAGTAGACTGCCACAGGGGCGCCTGGGTGGCTCAGTCGGTTGAGCTTTCGGCTTCGGCTCAGGTCACGATCTCACACTCCGTGAGTTCGCGCCACGCATCGGGCTCTGTGCTGACAGCTCGGAGCCTCGAGCCTGCTTCAGATTCTGTGTTTCCCTCTCTCTCTCTGCCCCTCCCCCGCTCATGCTCTGTCTCTCTCTGTCAAAAATAAATAAACATTTAAAAAAAAGTAGATTGTCACCTTACAACAGTTGTGAACCTTAAAATTATGAGCACTTTACACTCACCTTAAAGCTGATAAGACCAAGAGAAGCATGATTCTGAGAAGGTAAAAGGTCCCTGTATTTTTTTTTTTTTTCATGTAAAATGTTGGCAAATGCTGCCCTTGCCTCCACAACCCTCTGCTTCAGGATGGGGAACGGTGTTCCTGGAGTGCCTGCCCATAATGCCATTCTGTTCACCCACACATCTCCTCCTAACTCCTAGGAATCTCCATCCCCCCGACAGGCAGAGTCTGGTTCTCTAGTGGGACACAGTTGACTTGGAGGGACCAAAATCTGGAACCAGACCCATTCACCGAGGCAAGTTCCAGGAGGCCCAACCATCTGCCAGGGTTGGGATTCTGGATAAAGTTCTTACTATCCTCAAGCTTGTATTTAAGAGAGGAGAGACAGAGACTAAACACGTCCATATACGGGGTGAAGACGTTCAACTGGGTAAAGGAATAGAGGGGCAGAGGCAGCCGTCTTCCATCAGGAGGTCAGGGAACGTTTCTCCAAAGAGGACATTTGAGGACCGCTCATTTTCTGAGTGAAACAAGAGAACAAGTGTGTCACACAAAGTAGGGGAGGAGTGTTTGAGGATGAGGACTCGGGAGCTCAAAGGCACTTGAAGCAAAGGTGTGCCATTCTTGAAGTAGCAGGAAGACCGGTGAGAGCAGGGATTGAAAGACGGATTCCCTACTCCTGTCTCCCCTCCTCACAATGCCCGTGGTCCCCACAGGGACTGAACTGGCAGCAGTCTCCATCCCAGAATGGAATTCAGGTCCCCATTCCTTGGTGGCAGCCAGGAGAGACCAGATCACAGAGATGGTTACAGAAACACGGCTTAAGGCCGGGATGCCAACAGCAACGGACCAGGTCTCAGGGACCCAGGAGCAGGCCAGTTAGTAGACCTGGAACATGAGATCAGAGTCAAGAAATGGGCAGATGTCTGGATGTGGAATCTCCAGGAAAGGGGTAGAAGGCTGTCTATGATCCCCACCTTCCTCACCCACACCCCAACTGTGGACTATGCCTTTGTCTTGTGTCTTCTCTGCCTTTTGTATACTCCATTCTTGGAAGGTCTGCTGCCCAGCCCAACACCCTATGACTTCACATTCTTTGACTTTGCTGTTCTGTATTTCTGGAATTCCCTTCCCCTGAATGCCCTTAGGGGAACCATTCCTTCACCTACTTCAAGCTCTGCACGGATGTCACCTTCTCCGTGAAGCCCACCCTGACCACCCTCTTCCAAACCGCAAACACCAGGTCTGGGGATAAGCTCCCTTGCTAAGGAAGAGAACCCTGGGAAAGGTACCCGGTCCAGCCAAGGACAGAAAGCAAATGTCACAGCACTTCAAGAGTGAGTCAGGCAGGGAGGGTTCCAGATTGCCCACCCATCCTGGCACACAGGATTCCCCTCTTGAGTGCCTTGAGAGATGTGGAGGACCAAAATTAAAACTCCATCACTCATAGATAAGCCACTGGTAACATGGTCTTTGCCCATGATTTTTTGTTTACTTTTTAGAGGGGAATATAGATAACACGCGTGCAAGTTTCAAAATTCAAAACACACAAAAGGGTATTTCATCAAACATCCCTCCTGCTCCTCTTGCCATTCAAGTCCCTGTGCCTTCCACTGAAACCCACAGACCATCATCAGTGCCTGGTGTATCCTTCCAGTGGTATTTTCTAGATAGCCTACCCAGCATGTTCCTATTTCCCACCTTCGACCCAAACGGTAGCCTACCGTTCGTATGTTCCTTGCGTTTTTCACTCAAATGTCTTAAAGATCACTTCATTACACCTCTTCACTCCTTTTCACAGCTGCTTAGTAATCTCTTTGGGGGTACTGTGGAGTTTTTTGTTTTGTTTTTTTCAGCAGTTCCCTCTGGACGAACACGTGGCTATTTCCAATACGTGCTCGTTACAAACAGGGCTATAGGGAGTGACTTTGGCACGAATCATTTCCCTCTGGGCCAACTCCAGCAGGTCAGATTGCTGGGTCAAGGGTACGAGCATTCCCAGTGTTTACAGCACCAAACCGCCCATGCTGGGGAAGCCCCTCTGCTGGCGGGTGGGGGGGGGGGGGGGGGGGGGGGTGGTAATCTTGGCCCTCTCGTGCCAAGGAGCACACGCAGCTCCCATGCGACTACCTCAGCACAAATTCCTCTTCGGCGCTCGGCGTCCGGTGCACCGTGGAACCCAGGACATGCTTGTTGGGTGGGTGGGAGGGAGGATGAACAGAGGAGTAGATGGAGAACGGAGAGACGGCATACAAACAAACCCATGATGAAATTCAAGACGGATCCAAGTACAGCCTCCTTCCGGGAGCTCTGTGTCAAAGTCTACACTGACTCCCCGGCTTTCGGTCGCCAGGGCCACCGAGGCTAAGGCTTCGTTGTTCACACGTGCCCCTTTCGTGTCCTCAGATTAGGGGCAGGTTCCTAAAGGGCCCCAGGGAATGGAGGTGGAGAGCACAGCAAAGGGACTCCCAGCTCCCCCGCTTACTCTCTGTAGGACCCTGGGCGCATTATGAAATTGACCTGGCACCAGTTGCCTTGAATACCCGCTGGAGATGATCGATAGCCTGCTACCCACCTGCCCCGTAGGTGGTACTGGGAGAATTGGGCACGCCAATGGGAGGAATGAGCTTAGCATATGCCTGGCCGATAGCAAGCCCTCAGCAAATATTCACTGTTCCTTGTGATTGTGCTTCTACTGTATCTCCTCCGGGGCCTAGAGTAATGTTGGGCACGTGAGAGGCAGTCCCATAATATTTCCCGGCTAATTCTGTACACTTTAATTAACACTCAAGTTTTGGTTGGAAGATGCCATTCTTCCGGCACGCACGTTGCCTTGGATTCGTGCCGAACGTCTCAGGCTTTATTTGCCTAGCTCAGGTCAAGGCAGGCTTTGAGCAAGTATACGTTAACTTATTCCATGAATATTTAATTTTATCTACTAAGAGCCCAGATTACAGCAGTGAACAGGACAGCAAAATCTTTGCCCTCGAATTTTAATGGAGAGACAGCCCATGGAGCTGAAGTAAAAGAGGCAGCCAGCCACTCTGGGGGATCCACTGCGTGAAATGACTTTGTTTGGGAAGTTGCACGGGCAAAATTATCCCCTGTCCCTGGCTGTTTGCTCTGCTCTCCAGTTCATTTATTTTAGCCATGAAGCTTTACCTAAATGCTCTGAATTTCCTCTTTCCTGAATATCCCTTTAATCAGATACACCCTCTTCCTCACCTCCTTGATCTTGCTCCTCAAATATAGTTGCTAATGATGTGTGCATGTGCCAGACTTGAACAAATGTTGAGCTGCTAACTGCTCTGTGTCTGTTAATTTCATACTCAGCTCGAGCAGGGATCCTTGAGTTACAACAGATGCTGCTTCCCCGGGGCTTTAGCGCCCATCGATCAGCTTGGTGGATGAGGAAGGAAAGGGAAGTTTCCTCCATGACTGCCATTTGAATATAATTTATTGTGTCCTGAAAGAAAAGTGGAAAAAAGAAAAGGTACTGACAGGCTATAACACAAATGAATGGTGACGAATGACACTCAGATTTCAGTTTCAAAGGAACATGCTTTTAAGCCAATAAATGATTGCAATGGTGACATGAAATTCTCCAAAACTGTGCCAAATGGGCCCCTTCTAAATGGTCAAGGTGTTGGAGTCCTCTGGGGAGTCCAGATTGATAATTATAATAAAGAAAATAATAAGATAATCGCATAGCCTTTAAGAGCAAGGACACCTTAAACAGGCTATGTGAATTTGGATCGCAGTTCCCCGCTTGGGCAAGCCAGCTAACAAATCCTCCTGTGTAAGTGAGGATGATAGTGACACCTGAATGGCCGGGTTGTTGCCAAGTTTAAATGAGTTAATATAGAGAAAGCGATTAGAACGGTGCCTGGCACTTACAAAGCTCCAGATTGATGTTTGTTTGCTCCATTTATTGTGATTAATAGTGAATTTTACTGCCAGGTACCAGCCTAAGTCTTCATTGTACTTTCCCCTCCTCCCCACCTCATGACATCATGATTACCCTTACTCTTCATTAAAAAAAAAAATTTTTTTTTAATGTTTAGTTATTTTTTGAGAGAGAGAGAAAGAGAGACAGACAGAGTGTGAGTGGGGAGGGGCAGAGAGAGAAGGAGACACAGAATTTGAAAGCTCCAGGCTCTGAGCTGTCAGCACAGAGTGCAATACGGGGCTGGAACCCACGAATCGTGGGATCATGACCTGAGCCGAAGTTGAATGCTGAAATGACTGAGCCACCTAGGCACCCCTTGCTCTTACTCTTTAGAGGAAGGAATGGCCCTGTACTTGTCTTCCAAATCCACTAGAATTTCTGACTTTGCTCTCACCCTTATTTATGAGTATCTTCTGTTTATTTATTTGCATTTGCAATCATTTATAGAAAATTAAACACTGGAGGGACACCTAGGGGGCTCAGTCCGTTAAACGTCTGACTTCAGCATTAGGTCATGATCTCATGATTCGTGGGTTGGAACCCTTTGTGGGGCTCTGTGCTGACAGCTCAGACCGTGGAGCCTGCTTCGGATTCTGTCTCTCTCTCTCTCTCTCTCTCTCTCTCTGCCCCTCCTCTACTCATGCTCTGTCTCCCTCTCAAAAATAAATAAACATCAAAAATTTTTTTAAAAAGAAAAAATAATTTAAAACACTGGAAGAGAATATCCCAAAAGTATTCATAGGATTTTGAGGGACTACTTTTCTACCTATTTTTTCTGTATTTTGCAATTTTCTAAAAATAATTGTGTGTATTTTTGTAATGGAACATATAAAATGAATGTTTAAAACTGAAGGAAGAGAAGATTAAGTCCATTCTTCCTCTTCCTTGAATAACTTAATCACCCTCCTCATCAGGGTGTATTAAGAAGAAATCAATTGCACCACTGGGTATTTATCCAAGGGATAAAGGTATGCTCTTTCGAAGGGACACATGCACCCCCATGTTTATAGCAGCACTATCAACAATAGCCAACAATAGCCAAAGTATGGAAAGAGCCCAAATGTCCACCAATGGATGAATGGATAAAGAAGATGTGGTATATATATGTATACACACACACACACACACACACACACACACACACACACAATGGAGTATTACTTGGCAATCAAAAAGAATGAAATCTTGCCATTTGCAACTACGTGGATGGAACTGGAGGGTATTATGCTAAGCGAAATTAGTCAGAGAAAGACAAATATCATATGACTTCACTCATATGAGGACTTTAAGATACAAAACAGCTGAACATAAGGGAAGAGAAGCAAAAATCATATAAAAACAGGGAGGGGGACAAAACAGAAGAGACTCATAAATATGGAGAACAAACAGAGGGTTGCTGGAGGGGTTGTGGGAGGGGGAATGGGCTAAATGGGCTAGGGTCACTAAGGAATCTACTCCTGAAATCATTGTTGCACTATATGCTAATTGGGATGCAAATTAAAAAAAAATAAAAAAAAAAAAAAAGAAGAAGAAATCAGGAACTCAGTACCACAGAGGGGACAAGACTGGCTATGTCATTCTTGCTGTGTGCTGAAGGGTTGTTGCTTTCCCTGGGAACTCGCCTGACCTGTGAGCTGCCCGAGCCCGTGCAACAGCATAATTTCATAGGAGGAATTTCTTATACCCGCTGCTGTGTTGAGAAACACCGCGTGGGAATAAAGGCACATTTATATCCTAAATCATTTAATATTGGAATGAAAATAAATAACAACAGCCGCAGAATCGCCCCTACAAAAAGGTGAATTGCTTGAATTTCAGGCAGTTTGTTAGTTCTTTGTGCATTGGGCACTTCTATTATCAGGAGCCTCGGGGCCAGCATCTGAGGTTAATTAGATGCTACCTTGCGGCCATCCAGACCATTTCTCCTGTAACAATACCACTCAAACCTTTATCTTTTCTAGTTTCCTGCTCACTTGAAAATCTACCAAGAACAGATTGTAGGCTTGATAGATTGGATAAAAAGAGAGAAAATAAAATAAAATAAAGGCAGTCTTACCTCACATTCACCTCATTGAAGAAAGCAGGACACAAGCCCTCGGGTAGATCGTCTGAGCGCAAGCATTCAATGGAGAGTCGAAGTCCTTTTCAGTCAATCTACAGTCTTCACAAATCTTTAGCCTTTTGTGGAAGAAGGGTGATGGCAATGGCAATAGGGCATGTTCTTCCACTCCAATTCTGCAACTTAATGTTACAGCAGAAACCCAAGGGGAGAAATTAGAATTGTCTGAAAGGTCAAAATGTGATAGAACTTTTTATCGGTTACATATTACCCAACTAAGGCTGTACAATAAATCGCCCACAGCTTAGTGGCTGAAAAAAGCAACAGCCTGGGATGACTTCTCCGCTGGGTGGTTCTGCTCAGCTGGGCGAGATCGGCTCACCTTGATGGGGCTCACCCATGCCTCTGTGGGCAGCTGTGGTTGGCCGGGGCTGAGCCTCCATAGTTTCCCTTGGCCCTGATCCACTCGGTCTCTTATATTCCATCAGGCTAGCCCAGGCTGGAGTGGATGTGCGCACACGCTCTGAGTCCTAAGCTCAGAACTGACATTCCATCACCTTCCACTGCATTCCATGGGCCAAAGCATAATAGAAGCCCACCCACATTCCAGGGAATGGCGGCAAAGTCATGTGGCAAGGATGTGGGTCCAAGGAGGGATGAAAATTTGGCCCCACATTTGCAATCAATCTACCATACACAATCGTGAAACATGATGGTCTGTGAAATTAGAGACGGCAATTGTGAAATATATTTCATTGTTGAAATTTGTTCTGAGACAGTATAAACCATAAGATCTTCATCAACGTCAAAGCCAAAAGTACTCAAAATTTTAATCAAGGACTGCCTGAGAAGACATCAGCCATAACCAGCCAGTTTGTGTTCCAACCACCCCCCCCCCCCCCACCACGAGGGTTTTCCTCTCTGTAAGGTCTGACCTCAGGGTTTTTCTACTACAGTCTAGTTTTAACAGAAGGTAGAAACATAACTTGGGCAATTTTTCTGTACCCCAGAACACCCTCTTTTAAATGCGATCCTAGGGGCACCTCAGGGCTCAGTCAGTTAGGCATTCGACTCTTGATTTTGGTTCAGGTTATTGACGAGGGAGCATAAGGCAAGCTGACAGGCCACAAACACCCACCCCCCCCAAACCAGGTGGGATACGTGTGATATTCCTCAGGCACTCCTGGCTGCCCAAGAACAAAGAAAGGGGGAAAACAAATGGTTAACTGATAGACAGCAGAGTCCAGCAGGACCTAAGTCTCCATCGCCCCTCCATAGTGATGCAGGAAACAGAGGCAGAAGGAAATGGCAGATAGAACTAAATTTCCTTACAACCTGTAGCCTGTTGGCAAATATTTGAGGCTGGCAGAGTAAAGTGTTTCTCCAGGAACTCCTTACTGTCTTAATGTTAACGCTTTGCTAGAGGGAAAAACAATCCTAGCTTGACAATAGCTAGGCCTCCAGAATCCTGTGGTTCTTCTTTAGCATATAAAAATCTCACTAGAAACTTCCCCTGGACTTTACCTCCCCCAACCCCATAGTATAGACCCAGTTTCTCCTCATGGTCCTGTCCCTGTGCTTCAACAAAATCACCTTTTTGCCCCAAACACATCTTCAAAAATTATTTCTTGATCATCGGCTCTGGACTCCATGAACCCCACTATCACCCCCCCAAAACCTCATCAGTTAGGATCTCGTGGTTCATGAGTTCGAGCCCCACGTTGGGCTCCATGCTGACAGTGTGGGATTCTCTCTCTCTCCCTCTCTCTACTCCTCACCCACTCTCTCTCCCTCTCAAAATAAATAAACTTAAATAAATAAATAAATGCAACACTAGAAATTTATACTCAAAACTGCATACATACTATGATTGCAACCATGAAAAGCTATGTACGTGGAAGAACAAAGATGCACCAAGAATACACAAAAGGGGTGGGGCACCTGGGTGGCTCAGTCGGTTGAGCATCCGACTTCGGCTCAGGTCATGGTATCGCAGTTCGGGAGTTCGAGCCCCGCATCAGGCTCTGTGCTGACAGCTCAGAGCCTGGACCCTGCTTCGGATTCTGTGTCTCCCTCTCTCTCTGCCCCTTCCCCGCTCGTACTCTGTCTCTCAGAAATGAATAAATGCTAAAAAAAAATTTTTTTTAAACAAACAAACAAAAAAGAATACACAAAAGGGAAAATTGTTACATTCAGATGATGAGATAGACGGTGGTGTTTTTCTTATTTTTCAAAACGTTCTTTAATGCTGGGGTTATACAGTCTTACAGTAAAAATGGAGAGGTTGTAAATAAGTTGAAAGCAAAGATTAATGAGCATTTATCTTCAATCGTGTCCACATGGTACAACAACAACCACCCAGTCCTTGTCTTTCCATTTTATAATCTTCGAGGCTCACAATGAAATATTCAAATGCCAAGAAACACAAAAGCACTTCAGGATTGTACTTGCAGAAGAGTTATGCGACTCCACTATCATTACTTAATTCATACAAAGTGTCTTAAATAAGTGGTGTTATTTTCATCTTGTGGTTTTTTTTTTTTTTATTTATAGATTTCGATGAATGTGTCTAATGATGACAAGCCGGCAGGACCCATGTGCTGAAGCATATCTAACAATGAGATCACGGTAATTTGAGAAAAAAAATAACAAAAGAATAATCAGGGCCATATATTCTCTGGGTGGTTTTGAATACAAATGCAAAAATTGTGGTAAATGTCACAATTAATGTATCTGAAGCCAACTAGAGAAACCTGGCCCAGTAGGAAACATTTTCACTTAGAGTGCCAAGTAATAAAGTTAACTTAACGTAACAGCAAAGGAAACATGCTCCCTATTTTGTTTTCTAGAGTTGGGCACAAAGCTTTTAATCTTAATTAGACGCTTGATAAAAGGAGGCAGCTCTGTTGGAATCAGAAAAGTAGTTTTTGCTCTCAGGACTTAGCTCGTAAGAGGTGGTCGGATGATCGGCCTATTCTTAGATTCCGCCCCTGCCTCAGACTTCCCTACACAGACCAGAAATAACCACACTAGGAACATTTTATATCCATGCTGATTCTTTTTAAATTATTTTTGCATACATTTTCTCATTTAATACTGTTCCAACCCAGCAGACTAAATAGCACAGACATTATCATCTCCACGTTGCTAATAAAGAAATTAAGACACAAAGAAATGTCAGTAACTAGTTCAAGGACATACAACTGGTGAGTGGCAGGATGGTCAGGATCATCTTTCTGAGCGGCAGAAAAGGAGGACAGTGGGAGAAGACACATGTTACTCAGAAAAAATGTAGAATATTACACACTGGATAGAAATCAAAACTACAAAAGGCAAAGAGATCGTTTAAAATGCCCCTAATTCCACGTATGAGAGCGGAACACTTATAGCATCTTGGAGTAGTGCCTTCCAAATACACTGATCTTGTTTTGTATCTCACTGAGCACGTGGAAGCAAGAAGAGAACTTCTACGTTCTCCCCCACCAACCCTACCAATCCCACATCCATGCCCACAAACTCTGCCTTCCCTGGTGCAAAGGATGAACTATGTACCTGTCTATGTTCTATTCTGCGCTCCATTCAATTTCCTTCCACCTGCTCAAAGATTTGCTCTGCAGTAGCTTCTCATCGATGCCTTCTATGCCAGATCGTTTCCATCAGTAAGCAAACACCGTAATTTCTCTCATCTGGAACAAAGAAACAAATAACAGACATATCTTGGTCGTCCCTACATCCCTCTCCTGCTCCAGCCCCGTGTCTCGGCTCCCCTTTACAGCACACAGTCTTCAAAGAGTTAAGCAGACTTTCCGGCTCTGGTCCTCTCTTGATCACATTCCAAGCAGGCTTCTATCCCAGCGACTCCACTAAAACCGTCCTGGTCAAAACCAATGACCTCCACGTTTCCAATCCAACGATGGGTCTTCGGTGATTTTCTTAACCCTGCAACAGCACTTGTCACCATAGATTGCTCTCTCCTTGAAATATATTCTCCCTTTGGCTCCTAGGACACCACCCCTACTTGGTTTTCCTCTACCTCAATGGTCACTTCTCACCTTTGCAGGCCATCTTTCTCAGTGCTTGACCTTTTCATTTGTATATCTCTACACCCACTCAGTTGATGATCTCATCAATCCCATGGTCTTTTTTTTTTTTTTAATATGAAATTTATTGTCAAATTTGTTTCCATACAACACTCAGTGCTCATCCCGACAGGTGCCCTCCTCAATGTCCGTCACCCACTTTCCCCTCCCCGTCACCTCCCATAATCCTATGGTCTTAAACCACTCATCACCAGCCCTGATCCTCTCCTGAACTCCAGAGTCACATGTCTCCACTTGGACATCTCATAGGCAGAGCTAACACTCACTGGCAAGTTTCACTATGGTATTATCATTGGTTTATAAGTGTCATCAGCTCTGAATAGTGGAGAATCCTTTCTGATTGGCCAGCATCTGTTGAACATCTGTCGATTTTTTTTTTTTTTAAGATCTTATTTTTAAGTAATCTCTGCACCCAATATGGGGATCGAACTTACAACCGTGAGATCAAGAGTCACATGCTGCACCAACTGAGCCAGCCTGGTGTCCCATCTGCTGATATATATATTTTTTAATGTTTTTATTTATTTTTGAGAGACAGAGAGAGACAGAGCATGAGTAGGGGAGGGGCAGAGAGAGAGGGAGACACAGAATCTGAAGCAGGCTCCAGGCTCAGAGCTGTCAGCACAGAGCCAGACGCGGGGCTCGAACTCATGAATCGCGAGATCATGACCTGAGCTGAAGTCGGACGCTTAACTGAGCCACCCAGGTGCCCCTATCTGTTGATACTTTTTAATATCACCCCTACTAGGTAGGCAACTCAATTTTTAAAGGGCCCAACTGAAATCTTGATTCCCACCTCCCACTACTCAGTTTTCTCCAAGTACTTCTCCATGTCAACGAACATTCTAGTACTTACTATTCTTCTTGCTGAGACTTCACTCCCTCCAGATTCCTGCATGGCTCGCTTCTTCACTTCATTCATGTCTGTTCAGGCATCAGCAGTGAACTCCTTCCTCAGCATTCTGCTTAAAACAAGAGACCTTACCTCTCCCATATTGTTCTTTATTCCCTTACCTCTTTTGTTTTTCTGCATTGCTTTTCTCATTAAGTGATTTATGAGATGATAGACCATGGAAGGATGTGATACATGATATGGCCGACGTGCTCATTCATGTGTTTATTTTCAGTGTCCCTCCACTACAAATTAAACCTTAGACAAGCAGGGACATACTTTAAATTCTGGTTCAGTGCTTTAGATCTAGGGACTAGAATAATGTTTTATACGCAAGACTTTCTGTCTTCTAGGGGAAACATAAGTTAAACAAATAAATGGGCACATGTATCATGGCACACAGACATACCTCAGAGATATGGTAGGTTTGGTTCCAGAGCACGGCAATAAAGGGAATATTGCAATAAAGCAAGTCAAATGAATGTTTTGGTTCTCCAGTGCATATTAAAAGTTTGTTTACACTATATTGTAGCCTAAATGTGTAATAGCATTATGTCTAAAAAATACAATGTACATACCTTGATGGAAAAATAGTTTTTTGCTAGAAAATGCTAACCCTTATCCGAGCTTTCGGTGAGTCATAATGATTTTGCTGGTTGGAGGCTTGATGTTGAAGGCTGCTGGCTCCTCGGGGTGGTGATGGCTGAAGGTTGTGGTGGCTGTGGCAATTTCTTCAAATAAGACAACAATGAAGCCTATCCCATCGATTGGCTGTTGCTTTCACAAAACATTTCTCTGTAGCATGTGATGCTGTTTGATAGCATTCTACCCACAACAGAACGTCTTTCCAAATTGAAGTCAGTCCTCTCAAACTCTGCTGTTGCTTTTTCTTTTTCTTTTTCTTATCTTTTCTTTTTTTTTTTTTGAGAGAGAGAGACAGAAAGAGTGAGCAGGGGAGGGGTGGAGAGAGGAGAGAGAGAATCCCAAGCAGGCTCCACACCGTCAGCACAGAGCCCGAGGTGGGGCTCGATCTCACAAACTGTGAGATCATGACCGGAGCTGAAATCAAGAGCTGCCTGCTTAACCGACTGAGCCACCTGGGCACCCCTACTGCTGCTTTAGCAGCTAAGTTTATGTCATATTCTGTGTTCTAACTCCTTTGCTGCCATTTCCACAGTCTTCACAGCATCTTCCCCAGGAGTGGACTCCATCTCACGAAACCACTTTCTTTGCTCGTCCATGGGAAGCAGCCCCTCATCTGTTCACGTTTTGCCCTGAGATTGTAGAAATTCTGTCACATCGTCAGGCCCCACTTGTCGTTCTAGTTCTCTTGTTATTTCCACCACGTCTGCAGTGACTTCCTCCGCTCAAGTCCTGAACCCCTCCCGGTCATCCACGAGGCACGGAATCAACTTCTTCCAAACTCCTCTTCATACTGATATTTGGATCTCTCCCCATGAATCATGGATGTTCTTAATGGTATCCTGGATCACTAATCCTTTCCAGAAGGTTTTCAATTTACTTTGCCCAGATCTAAGAGGAAGCACGACCTATGGCAGTTATAGCCTTATGATATGATAAGACCTGAAAGTCAGAACAACTCCTTGATCCATTGGCTGCAGAATGGACATTGTATTAGAGGGCCTGCAAATGACATTAATCTCATTGTCCATCTCCGTTAGAGGTCTTGGGTGACCAGCAGCATTGTCGACGGGCAGTAATCTTTTGAAAGGAATCTTTTCTTTTCTGAGCAGTAGGTCTCAACAGTGGGCTTAAAACATTAAGTAACCCACGTTGCCAACAGATGTGCTGTCATTCGGGCTTTGTTGTTCTATTTATAGGATACAGGTAGAGTGGATTTAGTGTAATTCTAACGGGCCCTAGGACTTTCAGAATGGTTAGCATTAGCTTCAGTGTAAAGTCACGGCTGCATTAGCCCCTAACAAGAAAAGAGTCAGCCTGTCCTTTGACACTTTGAAGCCAGGCCTTGACTTTTCTTCAGCTGTGAAAGTCCCAGATGGCATCTTCTTCTAATAGGAGGCTGTTTCATCTGCATTGAAAGTCTGTTTCGTGTAGCCTCTTTTCTGAATTATCCGAGCGAGACCTTCTGGGTAACTTGCAGCTTCTCCGTCAGCACTTGCTGCCTCACCTTGCACTTTATGTTATGGAGACGGCTTCTTTCCTGAAACCTCACGAACCGACCTCTGCTAGCTTCAGACTTTTCTTCTGCATCTTCCTCACCTCTCTGAGCCTTCACAGAATTGAAGAGAGTTAAGGCCTTGCCCTGGATTAGCCTTTGGCTTAAGGGAATGTTGTAGCTGCTTTGATCTTCTATCCACACCACTCAGACTTTCTCCGTATCAGCAACAAGACTCTTGCTTTCTTATCATTTGTGGGTTCACTCGAGGAGCACTTTTAATTCCCTTCGAGAACTTTTCCTTTACATTCTCAGCTTGGCGACTTGGTACAAGAGGCCTGGCTTTCGGCCTGAACCTTATCTCCAAAATGTAACCACCAGGCACTTGTAGTTAATGAGCACTTGAAAGGTGACTAGTTGGAACTGAGATGTGCTGTAAGTGTGAGATATATACCGTACTTCCAAGATGAGGTACCAAAAACAGGAATGTCAAATATCTCGTTAATAACATCATATTTATTATATGTTAAAGTGATAATATTTTAGATAGATGGGGTTAAATTAGCACGTTAAAATTATTTTCACCTTTTTCTTTTTACTCTTTTCATACAGCTACGAGACAATTTGATTTACATATGTGACTCACATTTGTGGCTCTCTTTACATTCCTAGTCTAGACTCCTGAGGGAGGGCACCGAAATCCCATTAATTATTCATTACTTTGAGCTAACCAGTCATTCTTTCAGAAATCGACACAGTCCAAGGCTCCCAGACTTTCATATCTTTTCTTAATTTGTTCAGTGTGAACCTTCCTACCAATTACGTTAGGAAAATAAGAATTTTTATGTTGTTATAGATGAAAAAAAAAAAAAAAACCTGCACCCATTGGCTAACAGTTTAGAATTCTGAGTTTAAATGAATTACTTACCATTCCTTTATTTAATTTGAGCCCAGAGTCTCTGATTGAAGGTGGACAGGTTAAAGTCAGGGAAAGGAGTTCTCCTTTCTGTGTATTTTGCCAGATCCCCTCTAGCTGAAGGACATCAGCCCTCTGAGTAGTAACCAGTCTCTCAGATGAAACTTCCGAGAGAACTTTTGAAAGTGCCCCTGGTTTTGAAAGTGCCTCCTTTGGAGCAACGCCCACTTGCTTCTGTGGTTTTCTGGGCTGAACATCTACCAACACCAGCGGAATCAACGCCGTTTACCACGTTACAACTGCAGTTTGCATCTCACCCCTTTCCGTTTGCAGTCACTTGATGTATGAGTTCAGGATGAACTCACGACCGAATGCCATCTGAATTCATGTTATTTTAGGGGGTGGGGGCGGCAGATTTTATTCACCCCTCATCAGATTATTCATGGGTGGGTGTTTATTTGGGGCTTGTTGCATGCCAGGTACTGGGAGGCGCTGAAGATCAGGGGTGAGTAGAAAAAACATAGTCCTGTCCTTGAGAAGCACCCAGTCTACACTAGCGACAAGACACTGAATAACAGATGGTAAACAAAACTGCCACAGAAATAATTGTGTAATGCAAAATTTTTATAAGAACCGCAAAGGCGGGAAGGGGATGCCTTGACTTGTCTGGGGCAACTAATCTAGACAGATGGGTGACATGGAACCCAGACTCTAAACGAGAACTATAAGAAAAAGAGCAGGGACACCTGGGTGGCTCCGTAAGATGAGCGTCCAACTATTGATTTCGGCTCAGGTCATGATCCCAGCGTCGTGGGTGCTGAGCGTGGAGACTGCTTGGGATTCTCTCCTCTCTCTCCTCTCTCTCTCTCTCTCTCTCTCTCTGCCTCTCTCCCCTGCTCAGGTGCACACATGCACCCATGCTTTTGCTCTCTCGCTCTCTCTTTCTAAAAGAAAAAAAAGGAAAAGGATCAATTGCAACAGATTGTATTTCCCTCAAAGTCTCAGGACCACGCGTCCGTCCCACATGCTCTTCCAGAGCCTGCTACTCCTCTGTCAAGTGGCCGAGTGTGCATCTCCTCGTCTCGTCCCTTTGCCCCCGGGGCAGGTCTCTGTGAATGCCTTAAGCAATAGAGCACTTTGGAAAAGATGCCCCGTGACTTCTGAGGTAGGGCCTCAAAGGCGATGCAGCTTCCGATTAGTGTCCTCTTTTGGGAGCTGCCCTGGGAAGCCGGGCACACGGAGAGGCCCCCATGGAGCAGAACGGAGGCCCCCGTCCTTGGCCCTGGCTGGCTTCACAGCAGCGGATGCCAACCTTGCCAAGGAAAGGGAGTGAAGTGCAAACACCGGGAGGTGTGCAGATTCGGCAGAGGGAAGGGGGGTGCATTCCTCTTGGTGGTACCTACTCTCTCCGAGAAGTGTGAAAGCGAAGTCACTGGCTCAGAGTGAGGGGGCCGGAGGAAGGGGAAGTCAGGTGTTTGCAGAGCGGGGGGCAGCCAGCTAATTAGAAAGACACAATAAGATTACTGGGCAGTGTCGAGATTGTTGAACATTATTGAAATAATACCAATCTTTGAGATTTTTCCCCAAATCCCCTATCAGCTGGGAGGCAGGCACAGAGAAGGCAGGTGTTGGGACTGGGTTCTTCCAGAACGAGAAGACAGGAAGGACAGTGGGCAGCACACGGGGTCGGCCATATTCAGTGGGCAAGGGAAGAACTATAAAGATGCACTAAGGAAAGGCAAGAAATCCAGTGGGACAAGAGAGAGGTTGATGGACTGGAGGGCACAGCTAGGGTCAAAGAACAGGGAACAAGGCCTGAAAAAGTCAGCAGAAGAATAGACAGTCATGTCAGGGAAGTGGGATTTTTTAAAAATAATGTTTATTTATTTGTTTTGAGAGAGACAGAGAAAGAGAGAGCAGGGGAGAGGCAGACGGAGAATCCCAAGCAGGCTCTGCCCTGACAGTGCAGAGCCCGATGTGGGGCTCGATCTCACGAGCCGTGAGATCATGACCTGAGGCCAAATCAAGAGTCAGATGCTTGACCAACTGAGCCACCCAGGTGCCCCAGGAAAGTGGGATTTTAAAAGGAGAGTTTCAGATGGGGACTGAGATCACTGCATAATTGTTGGCTCGTGTTTGCCACCTCATCTCTGTCTTAATGAATACATTTCTGGTGATTATAAAGTTTGATATGGTAAAAAAAAAAAAAAATGTGCAGCAGAAAGAATACTTTGGAGTCAGACAGACCTGAGCTGAGAATAAGGCTCCACTGTGTGACCCTGGGCAAGCCTATTTATCTGCCCAATTTTGACCTCTAGCTCCTTTTCTCCTTATTAGTATCAAACAAAGCTGTAAAAATAAAATAAAGTGATGTATATAGACAGATATAGATATATAGACATATATCGATACATTTTGATATATAGTCAGATATATGGATATATACTGACGTATGTTCAGATATATATCTGAAAGTGATACACAGTTTTATCAATTTATATGTATATAGCCATTATACATATACCAGATATATAAATACTAGTTATATAAGTATACATGTCTTTCAGATACAAATCTATAGAGAGATAGATATCAGTTTATGTATACTATAGATATATAACATTCTCAGCACATAGCAGATACTCCACAAATGTTAACCCATCTCACACACACACACACGCGCGCCCATACTCCTCATCACCCACTTTTTTTCCACACTTAAGAAATTAAGAACCAGCTGATTTAAATTATAATCCTCCGCTGGTGCTCACGCCTTAAGAATTGATACTTTCAGACCCTGGGAAGCCTTCTCAGCCGTCTGGGAGACAGAACCAGTAGTGTGA